CTAGAACTTTGCATGCGCTACATTTTGGTGCCAAAATTTTGAAAATCGGACAATAATTTAGTGGCACTTTTTCAGTTCCCCGTCTTTTGACCTTGAATTTGACCTTGAAGTTTGACGTTGATGAAAATGGTTTTCGATGTGCGGCTAGAACTTCGCACGCGCTACATTTTGGTGCCAAAATTTTGAAAATCGGACATTATTTAGTGGCACTTTTTCAGTTCCCCGTCCTTTGACCTTGAATTTGACCTTGAAGGTCAAGGTTTCGGGGTGAATGGGTTCGATTTTCGTGATCCTCATGGTCCAATTGACCTTGGACGAGGTTTTGGCTAAAATCGGTGCTCGTCGCTGGAAAAGTCGCTGGTGACGTAGCATTTTTAAAGTTCCCCGTCCTTTGACCTTGAGTTTGACCTTGAAGTTTGACCTTGATGAAAATGGTTTTCGATGTGCGGCTAGAACTTTGCACGCGCTACATTTTGGTGCCAAAATTTTGAAAATCGGACAATATTTAGTGGCACTTTTTCAGTTCCCCGTCCTTTGACCTTGAATTTGACCTTGAAGTTTGACCTTGATGAAAATGGCTTTCGATGTGCGGCTAGAACTTTGCACGCGCTACATTTTGGTGCCAAAATTTTGAAAATCGGACATTATTTAGTGGCACTTTTTCAGTTCCCCGTCCTTTGACCTTGAATGTGACCTTGAAGGTTAGGTTCAGGGGTGAATGGGTTCGATTTTCATGATCCTCATGGTCCAATTGACCTTGGACGAGGTTTTGGCTAAAATCGGTGCTCGTCACTGGAAAAGTCGCTGGTGACGTAGCATTTTTAAAGTTCCCCGTCCTTTGACCTTGAATTTGACCTTGAAGTTTGACCTTGATGAAAATGGTTTTCGATGTGCGGCTAGAACTTTGCACGCGCTACATTTTGGTGCCAAAATTTTGAAGATCGGACAATATTTAGTTGCACTTTTTCAGTTCCCCGTCCTTTGACCTTGAATTTGACCTTGAAGTTTGACCTTGATGAAAATGGTTTTCGATGTGCGGCTAGAACTTTGCACGCGCTACATTTTGGTGCCAACATTTTGAAGATCGGACAATATTTAGTGGCACTTTTTCAGTTCCCCGTCCTTTGACCTTGAATTTGACCTTGAAGTTTGACCTTGATGAAAATGGTTTTCGATGTGCGGCTAGAACTTTGCACGCACTACATTTTGATGCCAACATTTTGAAGATCGGACAATATTTAGTGGCACTTTTTCAGTTCCCCGTCCTTTGACCTTGAATTTGACCTTGAAGTTTGACCTTGATGAAAATGGCTTTCGATGTGCGGCTAGAACTTTGCACGCGCTACATTTTTGTGCCAAAATTTTGAAAATCTGACATTATTTCGTGGCACTTTTTCAGTTCCCCGTCCTTTGACCTTGAATTTGACCTTGAAGGTCAAGGTTTAGGGGTGAATGGGTTCGATTTTCGTGATCCTCATGGTCCAATTGACCTTGGACGAGGTTTTGGCTAAAATCGGTGCTCGTCGCTGGAAAAGTCGCTGGTGACGTAGCATTTTTAAAGTTCCCCGTCCTTTGACCTTGAGTTTGACCTTGAAGTTTGACCTTGATGAAAATGGTTTTCGATGTGCGGCTAGAACTTTGCATGCGCTACATTTTGGTGCCAAAATTTTGAAAATCGGACAATAATTTAGTGGCACTTTTTCAGTTCCCCGTCTTTTGACCTTGAATTTGACCTTGAAGTTTGACGTTGATGAAAATGGTTTTCGATGTGCGGCTAGAACTTCGCACGCGCTACATTTTGGTGCCAAAATTTTGAAAATCGGACATTATTTAGTGGCACTTTTTCAGTTCCCCGTCCTTTGACCTTGAATTTGACCTTGAAGGTCAAGGTTTCGGGGTGAATGGGTTCGATTTTCGTGATCCTCATGGTCCAATTGACCTTGGACGAGGTTTTGGCTAAAATCGGTGCTCGTCGCTGGAAAAGTCGCTGGTGACGTAGCATTTTTAAAGTTCCCCGTCCTTTGACCTTGAGTTTGACCTTGAAGTTTGACCTTGATGAAAATGGTTTTCGATGTGCGGCTAGAACTTTGCACGCGCTACATTTTGGTGCCAAAATTTTGAAAATCGGACAATATTTAGTGGCACTTTTTCAGTTCCCCGTCTTTTGACCTTGAATTTGACCTTGAAGTTTGACGTTGATGAAAATGGTTTTCGATGTGCGGCTAGAACTTCGCACGCGCTACATTTTGGTGCCAAAATTTTGTAAATCGGACATTATTTAGTGGCACTTTTTCAGTTCCCCGTCCTTTGACCTTGAATTTGACCTTGAAGGTCAAGGTTCAGGGGTGAATGGGTTCGATTTTCGTGATCGTCATGGTCCAATTGTCCTTGGACGAGGTTTTGGCTAAAATCGGTGCTCGTCGCTGGAAACGTCGCTGGTGACGTAGCATTTTTAAAGTTCCCCGTCCTTTGACCTTCAGTTTGACCTTGAAGTTTGACCTTGATGAAAATGGTTTTCGATGTGCGGCTAGAACTTTGCATGCGCTACATTTTGGTGCCAAAATTTTGAAGATCGGACAATATTTAGTTGCACTTTTTCAGTTCCCCGTCCTTTGACCTTGAATTTGACCTTGAAGTTTGACCTTGATGAAAATGGCTTTCGATGTGCGGCTAGAACTTTGCACGCGCTACATTTTGGTGCCAAAATTTTGAAGATCGGACAATATTTAGTGGCACTTTTTCAGTTCCCCGTCCTTTGACCTTGAATTTGACCTTGAAGTTTGACCTTGATGAAAATGGTTTTCAATGTGCGGCTAGAACTTTGCACGCACTACATTTTGGTGCCAACATTTTGAAGATCGGACAATATTTAGTGGCACTTTTTCAGTTCCCCGTCCTTTGACCTTGAATTTGACCTTGAAGTTTGACCTTGATGAAAATGGTTTTCGATGTGTGGCTAGAACTTTGCACGCGCTACATTTTGGTGCCAAAATTTTGAAGATCGGACAATATTTAGTGGCACTTTTTCAGTTCCCCGTCCTTTGACCTTGAATTTGACCTTCAAGTTTGACCTTGATGAAAATGGTTTTCGATGTGCGGCTAGAACTTTGCACGCGCTACATTTTGGTGCCAAAATTTTGAAAATCGGACAATATTTAGTGGCACTTTTTCAGTTCCCCGTCCTTTGACCTTGAATTTGACCTTGAAGTTTGACCTTGATGAAAATGGCTTTCGATGTGCGGCTAGAACTTTACACGCGCTACATTTTGGTGCCAAAATTTTCAAAATCGGACAATATTTAGTGGCACTTTTTCAGTTCCCCGTCCTTTGACCTTGAATTTGACCTTGAAGTTTGACCTTGATGAAAATAGTTTTCGATGTGCGGCTAGAACTTTGCACGCGCTACATTTTGGTGCCTAAATTTTAAAGATCGGACAATATTTAGTGGCACTTTTTCAGTTCCCCGTCTTTTGACCTTGAATTTGACCTTGAAGTTTGACCTTGATGAAAATGGTTTTCGATGTGCGGCTAGAACTTTGCACGCGCTACATTTTGGTGCCAAAATTTTGAAGATCGGACAATATTTAGTGGCACTTTTTCAGTTCCCCGTCCTTTGACCTTGAATTTGACCTTGAAGTTTGACCTTGATGAAAATGGCTTTCGATGTGCGGCTAGAACTTTGCACGCGCTACATTTTTGTGCCAAAATGTTGAAAATCGGACATTATTTAGTGGCACTTTTTCAGTTCCCCGTCCTTTTACCTTGAATTTGACCTTGAAGGTCAAGGTTCAGGGGTGAATGGGTTCGATTTTCGTGATCCTCATGGTCCAATTGACCTTGGACGAGGTTTTGGCTAAAATCGGTGCTCGTCACTGGAAAAGTCGCTGGTGACGTAGCATTTTTAAAGTTCCCCGTCCTTTGACCTTGAATTTGACCTTGAAGTTTGACCTTGATGAAAATGGTTTTCGATGTGCGGCTAGAACTTTGCACGCGCTACATTTTGGTGCCAAAATTTTGAAGATCGGACAATATTTAGCTGCACTTTTTCAGTTCCCCGTCCTTTGACCTTGAATTTGACCTTGAAGTTTGACCTTGATGAAAATGGTTTTCGATGTGCGGCTAGAACTTTGCACGCGCTACATTTTGGTGCCAAAATTTTGAAGATCGGACAATATTTAGTGGCACTTTTTCAGTTCCCCGTCCTTTGACCTTGAATTTGACCTTGAAGTTTGACCTTGATGAAAATGGTTTTCGATGTGCGGCTAGAACTTTGCACGCACTACATTTTGGTGCCAACATTTTGAAGATCGGACAATATTTAGTGGCACTTTTTCAGTTCCCCGTCCTTTGACCTTGAATTTGACCTTGAAGTTTGACCTTGATGAAAATGGCTTTCGATGTGCGGCTAGAACTTTGCACGCGCTACATTTTGGTGCCAAAATTTTGAAAATCGGACATTATTTAGTGGCACTTTTTCAGTTCCCCGTCCTTTGACCTTGAATTTGACCTTGAAGGTCAAGGTTTAGGGGTGAATGGGTTCGATTTTCGTGATCCTCATGGTCCAATTGACCTTGGACGAGGTTTTGGCTAAAATCGGTGCTCGTCGCTGGAAAAGTCGCTGGCGACGTCGCCAACTTCACGGACATCGGAAGTGCGTGCTAAGGCAGAGCCAAGCAGTTATGTAGCAGTACGGTATTACCTGATAGATACAATGCCTAACTGAATAATACCTACACATCCCGCACCCCAGTCATACCCTCAGAAAACATGCAACAGTTTTCCACGCGCAATGCGCACCATCAAAGTACCCCAGCTCAGACTGCGTTATCGCCATCTGAGAGCCGAGCTCTGACCCAGCATTCGCCGGGAGCATCAAGTGGCACTTCAATCACCGAATCAATACGCACCAACCTTGCCCACTGCTACCCATCGCAACACACAACACATCAAACATTCAGTGATTACCTGACCTAAGCCTCGCTCCCCTGAGCTATCCTCACCTGACTCAAGAAGCGTCTCCGTCCGCCCGCACAGTCGTACCTTTGTGCCAGCCGCCGTGCCGGGCGAAGTCTCCCCCTCCACGGCTCCACCACTACTGACGACCAAACGTCGCACCGCCCCGAGCGGTCGTCGGCTACGACGCATCGATTGTACGCAGAGTCGCCAGAGGCTCTCAAACCGACGGCCGGGGGTCGTCAAACCGACGGCGGGCGATGAAGACGTGGGGTATACTGAGAGGATGCGCCGAATGTTGACGGATGATGTCGGTGTGGGGAAGAACTGAAACAAACGGAAAGATACAGGTGTCAGGCGTGGAAGGTGAGGGAATTGGAAGGCCAAAGGGGAGGCGAGGGGAGGGTTACACGACTTTATTGGGGGTGGAGGTTCGAGACTGGCGTAAAAGGCGTTGCGAATGTCTGGGTGGGTCGGGACAAGCTGCCAGAACTCGCTAAGCGACCGTCGTATAAAAGGCCGGTAACAGCGGTTAGCATTTGATGAAACCAGCGATTTTGGCTATTGCTCAGGCTTTGCTGATTCTAATGATATGCACCAACATGGCTTGAAGAAAATTGATCAATGACATGGAGACGAGAATGCCATTTTCTGAATACATTCTGAACGTTGATCTCCAGCTTTTAACGACAAACTTTTGCTTCGAATGGATGCAAACTCCAAAGTCCGAACGCTACGAGCTTACACCCAGTATCAGTGGATGGGTATTATTGCCTGAACTGAACCGCTGCTTTATTCATCGTACCACTGTAAAATCATTTCTGAACAAATCAATCCATCTGTTCCCACAACACCCACCAAGTGAATCCCTATGTCCGGTCGTGTTCCGTATCAACTGCCGTGCGGCCGTACTTTCCGCTAATACCCTGCCCCCCCCCCCACCCCCTCTAATCCCCCTCCCGTGTCCCGCCCGAAGCGTTGTCCGCCCCCTCGTTGCCAAGTTGGCGCCCCGCACCACACAGAGACCGTCCGACGCGCCAGAAAATGTACCCTGTCAGCAGAAACGCGCCGTCTTCGTTCACGCGAAACAGAGTAATGCGACGAAGGATGGGACGACTTTTTTCTCCGAAGGCGCTAGGCGGGAAATGTGTCAGTTCGCCTCAAATTCGCGTCAGGCTTTAAAGGATTTCGAAATAGGGCGTCAATTTAGCAAGCTTCAGTCAGCGCTGGAACAAGATTTTCGATCATACAAATCTTCTCTTTCGAATAAAGAATGCCTAGGCTACTGGTCGTATTAGCTTCATGCAGCAAAAAAGACATCCACGCCCACATGCTAGCTTGATCTGTAGCACGCCGTTGTTCTTGGGCCCAGGGCTGGGGCACGGCGGGCAGGTGTTGGCCCTTGTTAGATGCTGGTTTCTCGGCACAGATGTATTCACTGGTCACACGATTACAGACTAGGTGGAACACGTCCGGTCTCGGTGACAGCCGGGGGTCTTCTGAGCTCGACTCCCCTCGGCCCAGTTCCAACTATAGCCTATAGGGCGGTGGCCCTTCACTCTGCGTGGCGGCTTACTATTGGCTTAAGACTTTTTAAACAAGAATCGAACGCTTGTGATTGGTCGTCAGTACATCACAGTATCTCGAACGTACTGGAGACTTCTAGAAGTGGTGTCAAACCACGGAGGGGTGGCAGCTCCTCCAGGCTCTGCGACTCGGCTCGCGGTACGGGCCCGGAGCAGCGCCTGCGCTGCGGCAGCTGGCGCCGGCGGAGCAGGAGGTGCTTCAGCTGGGTGGTTTTGAACTGGTCCGGGTTGGCGCCTTCAAGACGGCAGCAGCGCTCCAGGCACAGCGGGCAGCTGCACGGATGAATCCTGTTTGTAGAGACGGTGCACAGATCACTGCCACAGCGATGGCAAAATCCGCACTCTGGGCAGAAGTTGCGCTGGCTATTGTCCTGGCAATCACACGAGTCCCGGCAGACAGGCGCGTTGATTCTGGTCTGGATGAAAGTTTTGTGGTATCCGCAGAGGCGCGGCAGCACGTCGTGTAGATTGGCCCTGAATGTAGAGACTGGTTCCAGTAGGCGCCAGCAGATGCGGTATCTTGAATATATCTTTGGGTCGATAGGCACGTCTAGGTGAATTCGGAAGCCGGCCAGCGGTTCGTGGAATGGCATATACCACTGGCTGATTGTAGTTTCGGCAGCAGAGAGTTGCACGAAGAAGCAGATGGAAGAGAAGACGGCTTCTGCGGCAGTAGGCTCGATCCCGGTCAGCGGCACCAGTGTAGCACGCCGTTGTTCTCGGGCCCAGGGCTGGGGCACGGCGGGCAGGTGTTGACCCTCGCCAGATGCTGGTTTCTCGGCACAGATGTATTCACTGGTCACACGATTACAGACTAGGTGGGACACGTCCGGTCTCGGTGACAGCCGAGGGTCTTCTGAGCTCACTCCCTCTCGGGTGGGCAGAGCTCGACTCCCTTCGGCCTAGTTCCTACTGTAGGGCGGTGGCCCTCCGGTAGGAACTGGGCTTACTATTGGCTTAAGACTTTTTAAACAAGAATCGAACGCTTGTGATTGGTCGTCAGTCGTCACAGTATCTCGAACGTACTGGCGGCTTCTAGAAGTGAGGTGTCACGTGGGTAGCTAGTGTCACGCGCTGGTCTCGTGGCTGAAGGTGTCCGGCGCCGGAGAGTTCCAAGAAACACGTCAAAACCATTAGTGGACATTTAGCAGGCTAAAAATGTTCCTAGAGAGGTATGCGTGTGTTGAGATGTTTAGAGAGCGCCGGCTCCGGCCGCTGAGTGTCCTGGCGCCAGCCGCTGAGTGGTGAGCGCGGAGCGGCATAAATAACAAATGACGCATCGCCGGTCAGGCGCGGGTTGGGACGTACTGTGGAGCTGAACATGGCTGAACTGAGTGCTCGGCAGAGGTGAAATAGTGTTAATTGTATGAAACCTAAAGCGTAGGTACCTATTGCCGCCACGCATGACGCAGGTGACGTTACTAGTGATGAATATAACGAAATAATAATGTTAATTGTACGAAACCTAAAGCATACCTATAGCCGCCACGCAGGTAACGTCACTAGTGATTAATATAGCGAAACAGGTTACATAGGTGGCACCGGAAATTGGAAAACATGTACTAATGAGAGGCATACACCTTACAGATCTATGCATTTGGCACTTAATGTATTACAAATCTACAGCGCCGACAGTTCCTCTCTGAGTGTAAGGTGCTTTGTTTTATTTACAATGCTGTGGAAAATTAGAGTGACTGATGGTCCTGTTACACAACAAAAGATGTCGTCAATGTCGAGCCGCTGATGACTAGATAAAAACTCGGCCCGCATCATGCCAACAGAAAGACACTCCATTAAGCGACAGCAAATGCAAGTGCAGCGCTCAAGTACGTAAGACTGTTTCGTTTGGTCTTCTTCAGCAGGCTATTTTAATAACAATGAAACACCCGAAGTCTGAGCACATCAATGAGCCGACGTGAAGTACGCAGACAACGCTTTTTCCATAACGAGCGTTACAATTACAAACCGCTCACTGCTCTTAGCATTACCAAAAGCACGTGTAACACTTCGCTAGCATAGCCTTGTCGCTAGCAATACTTAATATCAAGTTGTTTCTGAACTGTTCATATTTGAGAGTCCATCCTCCTTCGCACTGTTCATCCCTCCATCTTTCACTTCACCACTCCTCTCCCCACCGTCATTCTGCTCTTTCCCGCGCTCTTCCGCTCTCTCCTCGTCATCACTCCCGTTCTCCGCCAGCTCTCCTAGTCTGTCCACCAGTGCTCGGCTGAACGCTGCAGTGTACGCAGGACTGACGTCATTCAGCAGCGCGTACGGCGTCTCGTACACCTTGCCGTCCGCTCCTCCTCCACCCTGGGAGGAGAGGGGGGTGTCTCCCTCGCTCGTTCCGCCGCAGGTGTCGTGTTTGTCACCGCAGATGGAGAAGCCTCCCGCGGAGACACGTACAGTCATCTGACGGCCTTCTAGTGTGGTGATGTTGAGGTAAGTTCCCGACGAGTCGCCGGGAAGAGAAGAGGGTGCCGCGAATGCCACATGCGGCGCGATGTCGGCGACTACAGCTTCGGCTTCTAGCCGCCAGGCGGCAGCACCAGGTGAGCCAAGAGGCGAACTCATGCCAGCAGCCCACTTATAGCTTGGCCAAAAATGCTGTGAAATTCACACCTGATGTTTATAGTCAAAGTCGCTATGTGGTAATGTCATAGACAACTCCAGGCAGTACAAGTCCAAGTAGATCCATGCAGATGCTCACAGACTGGATTTGGAAGCAGGGTCATGGATTCATACCTAATCTGTCATACCTCTAACTTCCAATGCTGGCAAGCAGAATCTATGTATAGCATAAATATTCATTGAATTTTATGCTCTAAAAACTGTTAAAGCTCTAAATAGACTGTCATTCATGCAAAGATAATTCATAATAGCAGATGACCTACTGATCAAAAGTAAACCACTACAATATAAAATTTTCAAAGCCCACGGTGAATGATATATTGCTGATATTACGGAATAACATATTCCATTATTTCACTTACTGAGAGCTGTGAATAAAATATATTGGTACCTATCGCCTATCGGCTATCACAAGTCAAAGTAGGCATCAGCATTCAGCATGCTGTCTAGGCCATAATCAATCCTCTTGCACCAATGCTTGAATTATTTTGCATCGTATACCCCATCCAAGACACAAATGTGACAATATGCGTGTAAAATTTACCAAGCACCTGTAGGATTATGTATTGGGCTATCGCAAACAAATTTACAAACAAATTTACCACCGTTTGATTAGCCTATTCTGAAACCGGTTTTTCGATTTCACCTAGCTAGGTAGTTTGGTGCAAGAGGCCTCTGTACAGATAATGATATTGCTTTCATTCACAAGGTTATGTGCTAAATACCTTTTGACAAAATTGTCACGCAAAATTGTATGAAAGATATAATGACTGTATGACTGTAACGCCAATGTAACGCAAAAAATGAAATAATGTGCCCACTCAGGGGGTGTCGAAGTCTAGTAGGAAAATCTGGCAAATTCCCTGCGTGACGTCACGTCGGGGATGACCGACGGCACCTTGCACTGAAAGATACGGCAGAACGGCTATTTTTGAAAAATGATTAAAAATACTTTTGTGCTGTTATGACGCATAAACCGCTTATCAGCATGTTCCTCATCATGTGATAAAGGCATATCCGTGGTCGAAAATAGCTGAGCCCCTCCCAATTTCCAACCACCGACCTCATAAGCAAAGGATGTAAGCGTAATCCTTAAGGGCGACTTTCCTATACATATCCGTACATATGCGTCCTTATGGAAATCGGTAGTGTGGCGATTGGCGACGCGCGCGACATCTGTGTGGCGACCAAGTGGCGACTGTGGCGACACCTGGTGGCTGCTTTTCTGCTGTATGTAGGCATTGGGGTTTTGCCAGATGTGGTTCCTACTACTACACCACTATGTTGACCCAGTACTAGAAAAGTTATTTTGCTAGTAAAAGGCAAGCAAATTGAAAGTTGATTTATAAAATTGCTTATTAATGATTACGAGATAATAATAAAGAAATTTTGATTGAATAATTATTTAAATAATCAACCGTGAAACTATATTCTGGTAGGTTTAGTAGAAATAAGTCCGTGCAACCTTGTATTTAGGGCCTTGTGCCCACTGGTGTAGGCCATTATTAGCCCCGTTTACATAGGAGTTGCCAGATTCACATGCCAGCTCGATCTACTTTCAGGTGTTCGGCCTCCGCCATGTCGACAAATGCTGCGCAGCAAATACAAAATCCAGAAATGTGGTAATGGAGTTCTGGCCACCAAATAGAAAAAGCCTGCCAAGTTTATGATGCTCTTCATGTTATGTAGTTTTGATAATAAACGACGCATGGGCTTCAAATGAATTGTATGTCGTACATTTGGGCATCATACGAGTATGAGTGGAATATTGCAAAGTTTTTACCCAACATTTAAGCATAAGACTAAGTTGTTTCCATGAAAGCGATGAAAATAAAGCTGATTGTTGAGTTCGATGCACTCCCTGCAGCTTATATTTAGCGGATTGCATTTATTCTTATTCTACATTCATTTATAGAAAGATCAAATATGTAACACCCCTTTTCCCGCTTACCTTCAACCTCTGAGCAGTGACATTTTCTTGATCGATTCAAAACTCAAAAGGCATGGAAAACACGAAGCAGAAACTGAGTGCGTAAGATATTTGGTAACAAGTATCACATACGCTCTAAATGACTTTCTAAGCAGATTCGAGAGTCAGTAATTACCTATTTAATCACGTTGCGCTCATTCATCAAGTCAAACAAATACCTAAACCGATTGGTAGCGTCATCTAGGCGATGATAAGTGCCAAACTGCTAGTTGAAGACTTCTATTATAGATGGCACTGCTAGACAAGCCAGAGCGTTAGCCAGAGGATTTTACCACCGCCGTGAAAAATTCCTATCCAAAGGTGCACTCCGGTCCCCTCAACATAAAACTCTCGATGTTTCTCTAACCAATCAGAGTAAGCCTTGCTCGGCGCTGATTTGCTCATCAGAAAATGACGTCATTAGGGAGCCACGGCGTTCAAGCTATTTTGTGGCGGCTCAGGTGATCCACTTAGAAGTCATATTTTGATGTTTTTAGAAAAGTCTGATGAATGCTTTTATATTTTCAGAAAAGAACCCCTAATGTTGTTGTTGATAAACACAACTTCGCTATTTTTGCCAACAGTAATAAGACAGGAAATCATCTGTTGGTGGGTCTTCACGCTAAATCTACCACCCCCCAACTACGTCATCATCGTTCCTGAGCATGCTGTACTTGGTCATAACTTCGTTGCCCAGCACTAGTTAGCCTTGATTTCCGCCAATCAGAGTGCAGAGCTGTCTGCCAAGAGACAGCAGTACTCGATATTAGTGGTGGGCCAAATACTTGTTTTCTACGATGTTTTTCTTTGGAGTCTTTTATATCTTACTTTTGTTTATATTATATATCGCTTTATATTTTGTTTTTGTAAAGAATATCTGCATATATTGTGATTTATATAGCTTGGTTTAGCTAATATGACAAAGTGTTTACGAAGGGGTGCAGGGAGATATGGCAGCAGATATGGTGCTTGCAAGTAGTCTTTGTACGCATGAAATAGTACCTTTTTTCGAGCCGAAAATAACCTATTTATTGCAATTTATTGATGTATCATGCCTGAATTCCGAAAAAGTGCTCTTCGTAGCATTGAATACAGTCACTTGTGTAGTTGCAAAAGGTCACTGGCCAGTTTTGTGATATCTCTAGGCCAGCTAGGGAAATGTCTAAATGCTATGTAAACAGGGTTATTGTAGACGGTTGCGGCGCAGACAGGCATAGCTCAAGCTGTCTGGCCCATGTGTAAAAGTGTGCTGACTTTTGAATCAGATTTTATTGCTTTTTCTACGAATCAATTCATAAACTTGATTCAAGTTTCATATAATAGGTCTAAAAACATAAAATATCTTATCAGAATAAGTGAATGTAATTTTTTTAAATAAAAATTGACGAAAAAAGCTGGCTGAATGTAAAGTCACGTGATCATTAGTCTAGGCTCTTTTACAGCAGAATCGAAGCAGAATCGCCATGTGATTTTGCACCCGTGCATAATTCTGTTAATTTTTGGGTTGAATTATTTTGATTGGGTTTTGGGTGATCATAATCGTTTCATTATAAATAAATAGGTCCTAAATATAATGTGAAGTAGGTAAATGCTGTGCTGTATCAGTATACTACACCTTTTTGCGTTGTTCGATGGCCAATCGTCATAACCATTTCGGCATCAGTTTGGACAAGCGTCATTCAGAATAACCCATCGGCGATGTGCATCACTGTTAGACGGTCGGCAAAACAGGCTGGACTCCATTTAACCATTCTGCATAACTCTTTGTCATTGAGCACAATGTTCGTCATAGGCAAAACACTTTGTCAGATACTCATAATGCTTCGACATTTCACAAAATGGTTAGTCGATGTGCAAAATTCATCGGTACTGTGCGTAAACTATGACTGTTTATTTAAAACTTTCGTCAATGATTAAAATGTCAATGATGTAGTGCTTATCTAGCCATATTCAATGTTTAACGTTAATTACGCATTCAGGATGAGGCTTATGACAGTTCCAGCGCAATTTGCAACCAATTAACCATTGAATTCCGAAAAAGGCAGTTATACCATAGCTACGAGGAGACTGCCGGCGCCATACCGAGTAGGCATGTAGATTCTTGAGCGTCGGACTCCTAAACGCTTCGATACAAACCACGAAGTCGGCCGTCATTATCGCGTCACTGCCCGTGCGATGTCATGGGACAACGCCTCGGGCGGCCGCGCCGGTCGGACTTGCGAGGGAATGGCTGACAGATGGCAAGCCGGGCCCTGCCGGCCGGACACCTTGGTTTTTGGGGCGGGGCTGACTTATCCAGTCTGTTGCCTGTTCCTTGGTGTTTGAGGCGGGGTTAACTTATCCAGCCTGTTGCTCTGTTGCCTGTCCATTCTTCAATCAGCCGATAACATGTCAGCTACGTCCATCTACATTGTACCTATGGCGCTCATGAACGCTACCGATTTTTATGTAGATCAATGGTCTACGAGTTTCGCCACCTATGCCTCGCACTGCACTGTATAAGCCCGGTCATATTTATACTTATCTGTAAAGGGGCGATCTGTTTTTAGTTTTGACGAAATGTTATGAGGAATGCCGAAATTAGCATGGGGATGTTTTGGTGAACGACGAAGGGATATTAACGAAAGACGAAGCATTTATCCAAACCGTCAAAGGTTTTGCCGGAACTCAATCACTTATGGCGAATAGCGAAGGTAATACCAACTGACGAACTGTGGAGTGGGATCAGCATTCTGTTTTGCCCATATGCTGAAGGTTTTGCCGGAATGCCTCTCACTGGCGCCACCTATGTGCTGATCGGACGAATGGGTTTTGCTGATTGGCCATCGAACAACGCAAAAAGGTGTAAATGTATGCTAGTTATTCGCTCTACGTTTGTTTTTACTTTTCCCCTTCAGCTTCCTTCAGGGTTTTGCGGGTGTATTGTGTGATATGGTGGGTTACTTGCCGAAAATGTCATTTTCTTTGATTCAATGAGTAATGAATAATTACTCATTGAAATTACGAAATTAATAATTACTCATTTCCTTTGGTTCAATGAGTAATTAGTAATTATTCATTTCAGTAATCATATACCAGTTGTCTGGCACTGTCTATGACAATAATGTATATATTTATAAATTATATATGAATATCATTCGCATTTTTGGGTTTGCAGTCAGGAATTGGAATGGCTAGCTCCAGAGATGACGCAGATGGTCAGAGCAAGAATGCTGTGGTTTTACAAACCACTTATGCTTCTGACATCACTTCAGAGGATAAGCTGAAGGTGTGTGCACTGTCTGATTTTGTACCATCACCATGCTGGGACAATTCTGGGACATGCTCCAAATGTTTGACTGCAGACATCATAGGCGGTGGAATGGGTAGGGCACTAGAGCACTGTGCCCCCCTTTGATTGTGGTATTTTAACATTAGTCCTATGGGCATTGCATGGAAAGAATGGGACCAAAAGTTGGCAGTGCCCTCCCCCCCCCCTCCCTCTAATTGAAGGTGTTCCACAGCTACTGGCAGACATGGCAGGTAGTCATGCACAATTAAAAACAAATTCATTTTAATTGTTTTGTTCATTTGATCATTGATAAACCAATGAACCATCATGTAACCAACCAATAATCATAAACCATCATTTGATAAACCAAGGGACCTTTTGAGAATTTATGCGCCTATCTATCAGTACCTTAACTCTGTGCTTATCATCTTTTCAGAGGTTAAATGTTACCTGTTTTTGCCTTTTTTGGAGCACTTACATTGATGAATTCCCTTTTTTAGCTAAGCTAAATTACCTTTTGTGTTCCTCAAAATGGTCCCTCTCTTGAAAGTTGGCACATGTTTACAAAAGGTCAGAACTCAGATTGTCAATTGTGGTACAGTTGCCACAGATATGCAATGGCAGAAATTGTAGGTTGTAGGCTGTGTTTTAGGGCCTTGGTAGGTTGTAGGTTGCAGGCTGGTTGGTTTGAGGTTGGTAGGTTGTAGGCTGGTAGGTTGTTGATTGGTAGGTTTTAGGTTAGTAGGTAAGAAGGTAAGGTTAGGTCAGGTTAGATTGTTTCTTTTTCTTACATTTGTGTCACATATAAGTATCATAGTTGGATTCAGGATGTCAAGTAATGAAGGAATAAAGAATGTGCAATATCTTTGCTTGGAAAGTGAATTGGACTTATTGAAAGTATTTACTGAAAATTTAGGGCTTAGGATCTGAAGAACATTATGCGCTCTGCATTACAGACTACATCGACCTTGGCTATGACATTCAAGTGTCCTTGTATCATGTGCACTTTTGCCAGAGTGTTTATGAGATGGTTTCATGCTGGAATATCTAAATGGTCGAATTTATATCAGGTGAGAAAGTAACCAAAATGATGCCATTTATCATGATATCTTGCAGACATATAACCCTCATAGAATATAATCAATATCATTATTGAGTTTGCCAGGCTTGTTGCTATCATTCTGGGATGCTCTTGCATGGATCCCTCTTTTTCAAGCATCTTCAGAATGCTAGCTGGCATTATTTCCATTCCTTTTTTTGCAGGCCTCCAACACAGTGAGCCGCTCTGAAATGGTTCTGGACAGGAACGCCTACACTGTGGTGAAGGAGGGGCAGGCAGAGGTGCTGTTCCCCAGCTCGAAGGACGTATTCTACAACCCAGTACAGGAGTTCAACAGGGACCTCAGGTGGGATGTTGATGGTGTGCGGTTTGTGGGATCGGCTGCAGGTAGCTAAAGGGAGTTTAGTGGGTCGGGCTGTGTCCATGTCTAATGGGTACCCATGCTGAACTTTGGCAGTCAAAGTCTCCCGATTCAATCGGAATCAACCGATCGGACGGTAAGAGGCGAGGCGTACGCTACAAGCTCGGCTTAGCGTGTGCTCCGTCTCTTTCAGATCATCCATGATTTATTTGAATAATATGAAATCACTTATTTTTAATGAGCCACTCCTAATTTTCTGGTGTGATGCAGTAGCAACGTTTGCCATGAGATTGAACTTATAAATTGTAACTGTCTGCTTTCTGAGGGTTTTTCACACTTTTCATTATCCCCAGTGTCTCTGTGATCCGAATTCTCGCTCAACAACACCAGCGTAATCTTCGTGAAAAGAAAGCGAAACGGCAAGCCAAGGAAGCAAAGCTCGCCGAAAATGCCAATAAAACAGCTGAGGATCAGCGGGCCAAGGAACGAGTGGGAAAAGAGGAGCTGAAGGAGTCAGGAGAGAGTCAGGATAAGGAGGCACATCCTGCGAATGGCGGTTCTCAGGAGAACGGTGCGGAGGAGCTAAAGCCGGGAGTGAAATGTGAGGTGGGTAGCGAGCTCTTGCTGCACTGCTGCGTTTATGATCTTTTTTGTATGATCTTCCTGGATTGTATTATTGTTTTGTATGATAAGTATTGTATTGCTGAAAATTGTATGATTTTGCTGAAGAAATATTGCTGAATTTCGCAATAGTTGCGTGCTCGAACCGTAAAATCTATATTGAGCATTTCACCTTTTTCGAACTTCTTACCCCAAGCTAACATGTGGCTCGAAGTCGTACCGATGAACGGGGTTCGTGATTTTCCTCGGATAGTAGCTCCGTGATAGAAGTACGTGAGAAGCTCCGTTTGGGCCTAGAGCCACCTAATCATGAATTGCGACTTAATCTTTATAAAAACGCTGCTTGTTCAGCATTTTGATTTTTCGATAGTCATTTGAACCAATTCAAATATTTAAGGAAACAAGATATCTTGGCTCGCTCCGCGTCGCGTTGTCCATAAAATGATTAAGGAGAAAATTTGGGACCGATTGGTGTTTGTCCCGTGTTGATCGGACGTCTAGAAGCTTAGATATTCGCGAAAAACTTGTTGAACTTGCCAAAATACCTGCCAGCTTGCTGTATCACCTGCTACTTGGTAATGTACTGAAAACTTGCTAATGTACTGAAAACCTGCTAAAGGTATTTACTTGCCTAAATACCGCAAAGAACTTGTTCTAAAATACTTGGTATTTACTTGCCTAAATACCGCAAAGAACTTGTTACTTTCCGATGTTTAAATCAGACGTCTTAAGACGACTAAAGACTTTCCAAATTTTTCTTGGTTTTAGTTCGTTTTGACTTGTTTTCAATGAATTGTCTGCAATTTGAGTTATGTTTAATTCCAATTCATATTTTCTTTCACCTACCTATCATTACTCACTTGATTATTGCGTCCTACCTATTAAGTGATTACACATATGTTGAAAGAGCCGGTGGGTGGTTATAATGCAATACCCTGCACGGTGAAGAGCTTGCGAGTATTGCAGCGGTGCGATTGCTGGGGCTTATCGCTGACTGAAAGGGGTAAATACAGTAAATACAGATGGCTGTGTTGGATCCCTTTGCTTTTGCCCAACATTCAGCGTTGGAATTGTGGCTTTACCGTCCCTCTTATTAAAGTTATCTAACTTTTTGTAGCTTCGTCAGGTTAGACACGACGCGCGCGGCGGTATCCATCTGGCGGCCGCTAGCGGAACTACCGCGCACGGCCCGCTTGCCGCACGGGCCTGGCGGCCGCCAGTGGAACTACTGCGCAGGTGGCAGCACCTGCCCGTGGAGAAGTGGCTGGCAATCGGCCGCCCCACTCCCCACCCCGCCCCCACCCAGCTGGCCGCCAGACCGTGGGAACGACTCGGCTCAGCACTGCCGCACGCGCATTCAGCGGCGGGTTGTCGATTTTTCGAGTGTCGGCTGCCGATCTCCCGAGAGCCGGCCACCTGTCAGCCGCCGCTCGGCTCTGTGTTAAGCATATGGGGTATCTCACTTTTCCGAGATCTACGTCAAACTACGTATTTAAAACTACATATTCTACAGCCGAATCTTCCAACTGGGGGTACCTCACTCACAATCGCACGTGAATTCAGCCGCATTCCATCTCACGCGCAATGTTGAAGAGAAATGTGTTTCCGCGGGTATCTCGCAAGCCCTAACAGGAAAAGCTCGCTGCAAAAACTCAGCGCTTCAAAAAAACCCGCAATCCTACTCAGATGGATATTTAAACAAGATATCTTGGCTCGCTCCGCGTCGCTTTGGCCATAAAAAGATTCGGGAGAAAATTTGGGATCGAATGGTGTTTTTCCGGTGACGATCGGACGTCTAGAAGCTTCGATATTGGCGAAAAACTTGTTGAACTTGCAAAAGTACTTGGTACTTGCCAAAGTACTCGGTACTTGCTAAAGTACTCGGTACTTGCCAAAGTACTTGGTACTTGCTTGGTATTTGCATAAGTACTCGGTATTTGCCAAAGTACTTGGTACTTGTTTGGTATTTGCATAAGTACTTGTTACTTGCTTGGTACTTGTAAAAGTACTTGGTACTTGCTTGGTACTTGCGAAAGTACTTGGTACTTGCACTCGCCCCCCCGTTCCCCCGACTCTACTCCCACACCTACCCCCTCGGGATAATTCCGGGTTCGTCGGGTAGGAAAACTTGCCACTCTACTCCCCCCCCCCCACAGAGCCATTTGGTATCGATCGGTGTTGATCCCGTGTCAATCGGTCGTCAATAAGCCGAGATATGCACGGCGAATTATTTCAATCGGCGTCGATCAGAATCTTCAGAACGGAGGGACCCACACTAATTTCTGGCCGTATCTCACTTTTCCGAGATGTACGTCAAACTACGTATTTAAAACTACATATTCTACAGCTGAATCTTCAAACTGGGGGTACCTCAGACCGTGGGAACGACTCGGCTCAGCACTGCCGCACGCGCATTCAGCGGCGGCTTGTCGATTTTTCGAGTGTCGGCTGCCGATCTCCCGAGAGCCGGCCACCTGTCAGCCGCCGCTCGGCTCTGTGTTAAGCATATGGGAACGGCGAATTTCTCCCGGAGGGAAGCACCTCGCTCACAATCGCACGTGAATTCAGCCGCATTCCATCTCACGCGCAATGTTGAAGAGATATGTGTTTCCGCGGGTATCTCGCAAGCCCTAAGAGAAAAAGCTCGCTGCAAAAACTGAGCACTTCAAAAAACCCGCAATCCTACTCAAATAAATAACTGAACAAGATATCTTGGCTCGCTCCGCGTCGCTTTGGCCATAAAAAGATTCGGGAGAAAATTTGGGATCGAATGGTGTTTTTCCGGTGACGATCGGACGTCTAGAAGCTTCGATATTGGCGAAAAACTTGCTGAACTTGCAAAAGTACTTGGTACTTGTTTGGTACTTGCAAAAGTACTTGGTACTTGCTTGGTATTTGCATAAGTACTCGGTATTTGCCAAAGTACTTGGTACTTGCTTGGTATTTGCATAAGTACTTGGTACCTGCTTGGTACTTGTAAAAGTACTTGGTACTTGCTTGGTACTTGCGAAAGTACTTGCTACTTGCACTCGCCCCCCCGTTCCCCCGACTCTACTCCCACCCCTACCCCCTCGGGATAATTCCGGGTTCGTCGGGTAGGAAAACCTGCCACTCTACTCCCCCCCCCCACCCCCACAGCCATTTGGTATCGATCGGTGTTTGTCCCGTGTCAATCGGTCGTCAAAAAGCCGAGATATGCACCGCGAATTATTTCAATCGGCGCCGATCAGAATCTTCAGGACGGAGGTACCCACACTCATTCCTGGCCGTATCTCACTTTTCCGAGATCTACGTCAAACTACGTATTTAAAACTACATATTCTACAGCCGAATCTTCCAACTGGGGGTACCTCACTCACAATCGCACGTGAATTCAGCCGCATTCCATGTCACGCGCAATGCTGAAGAGATATGTGTGCACGCAGATATCTCGCAAGCCCTAAGAGAAAAAGCTCGCTGCAAAAACTGAGCGTTTCAAAAAACCCGAAATCCTACTCAAATGGATACCTAATTAAACAAGATATCTTGGCTCGCTCCGCGTCGCTTTGGCCATAAAAAGATTCGGGAGAAAATTTGGGATCGAATGGTGTTTTTCCGGTGACGATCGGACGTCTAGAAGCTTCGATATTGGCGAAAAACTTGCTGAACTTGCAAAAGTACTTGGTACTTGTTTGGTACTTGCAAAAGTACTTGGTACTTGCTTGGTATTTGCATAAGTACTCGGTATTTGCCAAAGTACTTGGTACTTGCTTGGTATTTGCATAAGTACTTGGTACCTGCTTGGTACTTGTAAAAGTACTTGGTACTTGCTTGGTACTTGCGAAAGTACTTGCTACTTGCACTCGCCCCCCCGTTCCCCCGACTCTACTCCCACCCCTACCCCCTCGGGATAATTCCGGGTTCGTCGGGTAGGAAAACCTGCCACTCTACTCCCCCCCCCCACCCCCACAGCCATTTGGTATCGATCGGTGTTTGTCCCGTGTCAATCGGTCGTCAAAAAGCCGAGATATGCACCGCGAATTATTTCAATCGGCGCCGATCAGAATCTTCAGGACGGAGGTACCCACACTCATTCCTGGCCGTATCTCACTTTTCCGAGATCTACGTCAAACTACGTATTTAAAACTACATATTCTACAGCCGAATCTTCCAACTGGGGGTACCTCACTCACAATCGCACGTGAATTCAGCCGCATTCCATGTCACGCGCAATGCTGAAGAGATATGTGTGCACGCAGATATCTCGCAAGCCCTAAGAGAAAAAGCTCGCTGCAAAAACTGAGCGTTTCAAAAAACCCGAAATCCTACTCAAATGGATAATTAAACAAGATATCTTGGCTCGCTCCGCGTCGCTTTGGCGATAAAAAGATTCGGGAGAAAATTTGGGATCGAATGGTGTTTTTCCGGTGACGATCGGACGTCTAGAAGCTTCGATATTGGCGAAAAACTTGTTGAACTTGCAAAAGTACTTGGTACTTGCCAAAGTACTCGGTACTTGCTAAAGTACTCGGTACTTGCCAAAGTACTTGGTACTTGCTTGGTATTTGCATAAGTACTCGGTATTTGCCAAAGTACTTGGTACTTGTTTGGTATTTGCATAAGTACTTGGTACTTGCTTGGTACTTGTAAAAGTACTTGGTACTTGCTTGGTACTTGCGAAAGTACTTGGTACTTGCACTCGCCCCCCCCCCCCGTTCCCCCGACTCTACTCCCACACCTACCCCCTCGGGATAATTCCGGGTTCGTCGGGTAGGAAAACTTGCCACTCTACTCCCCCCCCCCCCACAGAGCCATTTGGTATCGATCGGTGTTGATCCCGTGTCAATCGGTCGTCAATAAGCCGAGATATGCACGGCGAATTATTTCAATCGGCGTCGATCAGAATCTTCAGAACGGAGGGACCCACACTAATTTCTGGCCGTATCTCACTTTTCCGAGATGTACGTCAAACTACGTATTTAAAACTACATATTCTACAGCTGAAT